AAAAAGTCGAAAAGTCGGAAAAAGTCGAAAAAAGTCGAAAAGTCGAAAATAGTCGAAAATTTTAAAAAAGTGGAAAAGAGGTCAAAAACTCTAAAATAGTCGGAAAAACTCGAAAAAAGTAAAAATATAGTCGAAAAAGTCGAAATAAGTCGAAAAAAGTCGAAATAAGTCGAAAATAGTCAAAAAGTCGTAAAAAATCGTAAAGTCGAAAAGTCGGAAAAAGTCGAAAAGTCGAAAAAAGTCGAAAAGTCGAAAAAAGTCGAAAAGTCGAAAAAAGTCGCAAAAAGTCGAAAAGTCGAAAAAAGTCGGAAAAAGTCGAAAAGTCGAAAAAAGTCGAAAAGTCGGAAAAAGTCGAAGAGTCGACCATTTATAAAATACTAAAAGTCTAAAAGTCGACTTTTAAATAAATGAAAAAGGTCGAAAAGTCGAAAAATCGACTTTTAACTAAATGCAAAAAGTCTAAAAGTCGACTTTTCGTTTCAACTATAGAACCCTAGTGCAATGGTATTAAAATTATGAATTATTAGCGGGTAAAAATCGTTTAAATATGTATTGTACTCCTCTTCTGTAGAAATTCTAGCGACTAATTGTAAGCTTTTATATTTAACTACTGTTTAATTCATTATTGTTTTGAAAGTTATAATTGTTTTCAAAAATTTCTTTAGAAAAACACTTAGCCAGCTATGTAGTGTAAATTTGGTAAATTATTAACACTAATTGCAGGTTTTTAATAAAACACATTTAAGAACAATTATTATTATTATTTTATGAAAGTGAGGTTAGGCTTAGCAAAGGTGTAATATTTGGGAATTTAAACAACAAAATATTTTTAAAAATTGTTCAAGTGCTTGTTAAAAAAAAACATAAAGAAGTGTAGTATTTTTTGATCTTTTTCGGCTGGTATTGCAACGGTAGTTTAGGAAAGAGATTTAGTAATTGTATTTCACAAAATCCCCACAAAAGTGTAAAAAGTGCTTAAAAAAACCAAAAGTAGTATATTTAAGCAAACAGATTAATTTTGGTAGAAAAAAAAAATATTAGAAAAACAATAGAAAACAAGAAAAGGGTTTTGGTTAAAAAAGAAAAAATAAAAAAAATTAACATTTTTTATAGTTAACCATTAACAATACCAATGAAATAGAATCTGTGAGCTCCTTGTCGTACTGCAGAGATTTTTTTGGACAATATATTTGTTTTTATCAAAATCCATCAAAAAACAGAAGAAACAATTATATTAGTATTTTTTTTTATAAAAAAAGGAAAAAAGAAAGAAAAAGAAAAATAAATATATTTTTTTTAATACAATCTAGAACATAAAGCTAAATAAAGAAAGGATTTTCTCCAACAAAAAAAGCATAAAATGTATTTACACAAAGAATCTTTTGGAATCTTTTAAGGTATTTTTAATAAATTAGTTTTTTAAAAAAAGAAAGCCTGGTTGATTAATATATATTAAGCAATAGCTTTAAAAGATTTTAAGGATATTTTTTTTTATATATAAATAAAATTTAATTATATTTTTATAAAATTAAAATAAAAAAAAAAAAGAAATAAACTTACCGTTATTTTTAATGCTATCTTTTTCGCATGAGAAAATATTTGATTGCATGTGATTTTTAACCGAACGTGGTGTTTGTGGTAAATCACCACCGAAAATGTCACTAGTGCCACCACCTGGAGGTCTCAAAACCCTGTAATTATAAAAATATGAGAAATAAAATGTTAGAAGAAAATTACTTGTATGTTTATAGTAGCTTATTTTTTATTTCTTTGTTAAATTATATATTCTTTATAAGATACAAGTTTTTGCAAAAACAAAAAACTCATTAATTTTAAACCAAATCAAAAACCATGAAATTTATTTCTTTTCTTCTCTCTTGTAAAAAATATACAATTAGAAAAGCTAATTTACTTTAGTTTTATGTAAAAGTTTAGAACGAAATGTTTAAATTATCTTAATGCAACGCTGCACATAAAATTCTTGAAAAAAATTAATGTGTTCTTCTAGAACTTTAAATGATTATATTAAGAAATAGTTAATAATTCTTTACTTTAAAGTTTAGTGTGTAAAAAACCAGTTAAAATTATCAAATGAGAATTTGTTAGGAAACTGTTATAGTTAAACAAAATTTACCAGAATTTTTTAAACGTAATCAATAATGAAAAGTCCGAGCCTATCTATCATCATCTATCTATCTATCTATCTATCTATCTATCTATCTATCTATCTATCTATCTATCTATCATCTATCTATCTATCTATCATCATCTATCTGTCTATCATCTATCTATCTATCTATCTATCTATCTATCTATCTATCTATCTATCTATCATATCTATCTATCTATCTATCTACACAGAGGGAAAATGAAATATACACCTGGTACCAAATTGACACCAACCTGTTTATAATTTTTCAATACCATCCGTTGTCAAAGTATATACATAAGTACGTACGACAACACTATGTAATGTTGACAACATTGCAACAGTTCGTTG